CCAGCACTGAGCCCTGGGGAAACCCACTGGTGACCGGCCTCCAGCCAGATTTAGCCCTATTTACCACCACACTTTGGGCACCGGCCATCCAGCCAGTTTTTAACCCAAAGGAGGGTGTGCCTATCCAGGCCAGCAGTTACCAGTTTCTCAACCAGAACACTATGAGAAACTGTATCAAAGGCTTTACTGAGGTCAAGGAAAACTACACCCACAGCCCTTCCCTCGTCAACCATGGAAGGTTACTACAGGTTTCCCATGGAACACTGTTTACTTGAAAGCTAGACCTTTACATACTAATACTAAAAGACAACGGAAAGGTATCTAGACTGAACTGGTTCAGGAAAAGGCAGTGTATCAAGAATTCCAAAATCTTACTACAAAGTTATGTTTATATTCAACATCAAGACTGCACAGGATCTAATCTACTTACTCACTCAATTTGCATCTCAATTTAAAAGTCTTCCATTTCAGAAGATACGCTTTCCTTTGATATTCTAAGGATCTAGTTACCTAGTTTACGCCATCTTTAAGCTTTACCTTTGTAAAGCATATCATGACTCACCTATCCAAGAGGACTAGCTTCACTCACACAGGGCTAAGCTCCCTAGGCTTGTCAGATTTTCCCAAGGAAGATTCAGCTCAGCGATCTAACTCTGTGAAATTTTTTTATGAGTTGGTCTTACTACTGTCAGTTTTAAGTATTCTAATTACTCATCTTTTTTAAACAAGAAAGCAGCAGCCTAGGATGGCCAATGTTTCTAAACTGAAGCTCATATTCATTAATTTTCACCTTCCTCCAAATGCCAACTTATTTGAAGATCCAAGGTAGTATATAAACTAAATACTCAAAAAAGACTTTGACAGAATTGGTAGGAGGAAAGCAGAGTTAACTCATAGAATGAAACAATACAATTGAAAGACTCAATCACAAAACCACTAACACGTTCCACCCTGAAGAAGTGAATGCTACCAATCACTCTACAAGACAACTCCATTACATTAGAAAATACTCCATGCTAGAAGTGAGGAAGATGCTCACTTCCCAAATGATCAGCTGGATTAATTATTTTTCATGTCACAAGACCACTTTATTGTAAAGGTTGTACAACACAGCTGAAAAAAAACTCTATTACACATTAGAAAACCGTTTTAAGGATCGAGATGAAAAATTAGCACACTTAAAACCAGGTAAGCAAGACACTACCCAACTTGTTATAAGCATCCAAAAATGTTTTTTGATCTTTATAGACAAAAGATCTAAGGAAAGCTTAGCTTTCCATTTTAGTAATTCCTGGCATAAGGTATACAAGTTTCAAAATCATCTACATCAGCCAGATATAAATAAAAGGTTTAATATTGGCAAAAATGTTGTCTTATGCCAGATCTATGCAACTTTTCATCAAAACTATTTTGAACGCTTACTAAAAAAATCCAAGCAACCAAAAAAAACCCCAAACCACCCCAACCTCTCTGCTTTAGAAGCTTATAGCAGATCAGAATGTAAAGGAAGACGACAGCACCTTATTTATTTAACTACACAGAGACACACAGAATATTCTGAGAGGCCAGCACACAGAGAGTAAACAATTATGCCAACAGCTTCATATTGGGGGGGTTATGGTGTTGGTTTTGGGTAGTGGTGTTTTTTGGGTTTTGTTTGAGGCTTTTTTTTAACAATAAGCTGAAAGATTTTTGTACAAATTTGGAGTTTGGTCGATGAAAAAAACCCACAAGGTTCAACAAAGAAAAGGAAAAATTCAAAATGTCCCTCTGACTGCCAAGATCAGAAAATACTTTCTTTCAGCAAATCCACATTGGTCTCAATAGGCTTCTAAATCAGTATTCTCATAAGTTAGCACTTACCCTTCTCCTGTCAAAGCACAACAGGACTGAATGTGCCATGGGTGATCCTTTATGGAGCTAAGGGTGAGGTACGTAGATATCTCGGCAGCTGTCATGCAACCTTTCACGTCCTGCTTGTTTGCGAAGATCAGAACTGCAGCCTTCCGTAAATCCTAGAAGTAATTTAGAGTATCCATAATAGTTATTATAAAGAACTAAAAGGCTATTGCATTAACTTAAGCTCTTAGAAGAACTGTATTCAAGCTAGTCTACAATTACACAGCAGCATGGAGTTTTAACAGACTTACTACATTAAAAATTAATTACTTTAAGACTAAAGAAACCAATTTATTCAGAAGCATTCTCCACCACAGAGAATCAAATTATAACGTTTTATACAACTATCCTTTTGGTGTTGACCACATGTTCATATGTTAACTAATGAAAGTCTTGTTAAAATACATTTCATAAAACCCCAAGCCATCCAGCCAGCAGAATAATTACTGGATAAACATTCCAAAATCTACATTACACTATTCAAATGGAAAAGTTTGCAAAATATCATTCCCTGGAAATTACTTTCAACTTCATTAAACAAGTTCTGCAGTGATTAAAGCAGTAACGACTTAAGAAAGCTATCTAAATTCTTGTAAGTTTTATCCTATTGTTCCAAAAAGGGAGCTTTAGTAATGCTGCAGCAGCTTTAGTAAAAAGAGAAACTAATAAAAAGTTGTTTTGTGTCTGTATGGAAATTAGGATTTCACACAGCAATGAGACAAGAACTGGGATGTATGGTTTTAGGAGTGCACAAGGGCAAACAAATCCAATACTCAGAAAGCCAACACTTGTTTATTAAAAGTGTTCAACACATTTAAATGTATATTACATTTTGAGACTATTTTTCCATCAAGAGAAAAAAAATCAAACCTTTATGGTACAAAATTTAAAATTTACTCCTACAAGTAGTCCAGGCTAGGCCTACCAACTGTTTTTAACAGACAGTAGATTACAATCTCATAAGAGTTTGTAAAACTTGAAACTAATAAATTACATGGGAAAGCTTCACCGCAAAAAGTCATCTTTCATTTTTTTTTTGGTAGTGTATTTGCTCCTTACCACCAGACCCAAACTACATTAACTATAAAGCAAAATCCTGACTCATTTGAAACAATACAAGTCTCTCAGAGAAATTAACTCCATAGAATTACTTGTGCTGTACTAAATTTTTTTCCTTCAGAAATTGAGATATTCAGATTTAAAACAACTCTAATTCAGCTTGAGTGATCACAGGTGGTTTTAATGTACTTCAGCTTATCCAAAGTAGATGTTAATTTAGGATGTTTGAGAGAGTTGACCCAATGTTGAACAGTCCTCAATATGACACGGAATAATAAAACTATAAACAAAATAATTCAGAAGGAAACTGAACTGAAATTAATTTATCCATAGTATTAGATATGCTTCTTAATTTTAAGGAACCAGATTAAAACAAATAAGAAAGAGAAACGGCATCGCCTACTTTCTAAAATAAAAATGTTAAAAAAAATGTTTATTGAAATTTTAACCATTTAACTGAAAGAAGAGAGATAGTGGTGGAGAACAATAATATCCAGTTACATTAATATGAAGTTTAAGATATTTTACAAGTTTTGTTTTAAGATATTTTACAGGTGATTCGATTACAATCAAGTAAGTCCTATTAGAAGATTGCTTCATAATAATTTTCCTGGGTTTTTTTACAATTTAAAAGGTTTTAAAATGTGACCAACATGCATGCACTCTTAGGCTCAGAAATTTTTTTGTTATAGTATAGTTTTTGCTAACATAGGAAGTATATATTGTTATTTGACTGTTGACAACAAAAGAAAAGTATTATCCCGACAACAAAAGAAAAGTATTATCCCAACTCCCCACCATACCTCATGAGCCAGCATTCTGTAAAGTTCTTCTTTTGTGATAGAAAGTCGCTCTCTATCAATGCTGTCAACAACAAGAATGATGAACTAGGGGAGAAAACAATAGTACAGTATGTAAGTACAAAGTACAAATTACAGAAAGCAGGTTTTGAAGAGACCACTACCACAAGTCTTCCTGTATGAGAGACACAGACTTTCATAGCACACTAGAAAATAAAATAGGTTTATTGTTACAGTCTTTCTTGAGCCCTGGGAATCATACATGAAGACTATAGTTTAAAAAAAAAAAAAAGATTGTGCAATATTATACTGTTGCATATTGTGCAACAGTACATTTCAGCACTGTTATTAAGATCTACTTTCACATATTACAGTTAAGTCTCCTTGGTGGATTTTCAGGCTCTACATCACAAGCAAAATAGTGACGTAGGTACCAAAAGCACCTACGGATAGTGGATTACATTTAAAATGTGGATGAAAAACTTGCTACAGAGTTATCAAAACCAGATATCACTGTCCACTACTACTTGCATACTCATAAAACTATTCAAACTGAAATTCCCTATTTTGAAAGAAGCATTTTTAGCAATTCAGCATCATCTTACTCACAAGGCTTAAGAACTGTTATTTCAAAGCAGTATATCAGACCTCAGAAAGCTATGTACCTGTAGGGCTTAGCATTGTGTTCTTGCACAACACCTTAACCTTTGTAATGCAAAGGGCCTGTGCAGCTGGCCTCTCACTTACAACTTTGCACCCTTCTTAAAATTTTGCACCTTCCACCTAGGCACTTGGAGATGGCTGTAGCAGTGATTTTACCCTTACTGTTCCTGCCAGGCATGTTATTCTCATGGCCATCCACTTGTGAATCCTGAGACACTGCTAGGTCTGGTACGTCAGGTCTCCTGTGGGAAGTAATTGTCACTGGTATGAAAATTACTCTCTTCTACCCCACTCTTTCTGCCCCTTGTTTTGTACCTTCTATTTTATAGCCTTACAGTAGAAAGGAAAAGGACATGGCATTACACAGTAGGTATGCAAGTAAATGCTTGTAAGCATTACACAACAGTATGTGTACACAAACCAGGGCAACTGATCCGTGCTTAACACTCATCCCACCCAGTGTGCTCCAAGCAGCACTAACTGCAGCATGGGTGTGAACAACTAGTAGGGAGATAAAGCACATTCTGACAAAAATGACACAAATACTATTAAAAAAAAAAATAAATTACAGGGAACACATGCTACACTGGAGAGGAAATCAGAGAGATGAAACTCATCTGAAAGACTCCATCACTTCTCTGCCCAGATGGTAACACCTTTCCATTGCTTTTCTCTTTTACTCTAACTCTCTTTGGTTGCCCCCACTCCCCCTAACTTAGCCATGAGAGCTCCCTCCCCTTTCCTCTCCCCCCAAATCTTGTGTCTGTAAGCCTGTCTCAATATCCTTTCTGTAAGAATACGATCTGACTCTTAAAACAGAATTGCAGAATTAGCCATATAAGTTGAAACCAATTAGAGCAGCTATGCACTGAAAAGTTTATTTGTGGGATTTTTACATCACTCCAAAGATTTTGTTTAGATTGCTTCAATTTACAGATAAGGAAAGAGAAAAGAGAGAAACAAAAAAGAAGGATTAGAAGTCACTGCCATAATTCTCCAACACGTGCTCCAAATCACTTTGCCCTGTAAAATTAGAGAGATTCATTACCCATTGAAAATGACCACAAAGTACAAAAATCTAAGTCAATTTAATGCTACTGTGACTTTCAGATGTCTAGCAGATGAGGAGGAACAGTAAAGGAATTATTCATATCGAGAAGGCTAGGATCAGCATACTAAACAGATCCCTTTTCTTCCTCGACTGTTTCCAGCAGACAAAGCTTCTAAGTAAAGGGAAAGTTCTTCCTTCCACGTGCTAGAAAGCACTGGATTTCAAACACTTACTAGCCAGAATATGACGAACTACATCCCAAAAGTATCACAAAGAGAACTAATACATGCATCTCCCTAAATTCCAAAATAAAAGATTCTTAATGGACAAATGTCAAGAATTGTACCGGGTAACGCTGGCAGAAGTCTCTTCACCCTCATGTGTACATGTCTTAGATGTAGCCATACTTTTCCAGATAAAATTAAAAATAAGTTTAAAATACTAGAGATGAAGGTTGAGATGTCATCACCAGGCTTTCAGTAGATAAAAAGTTTCTGAACATCTGGGGCGGATCGCTCTAATCTCCCCACTCTCAAGGTGGGGCATAAGGCAGAAAATCTCATTTTACAGGAGGATGGAGTGCTTATATAACGAGTAATATCTACAAGAGATGTATACTTTTAGTAGAAATGGTAAGAAATGAAGTCTAAAACCTTTTACATCAACGTAGAAGTCTCAAAGTGAGGTTACAGAGAGTTTATATGCACATTGCATTGGTAACATTTTGGCATCAAAAAGACTGGCATAAAAAACCAAACCCCCAAAAGACAACTGGTTGTAGTAGAGCTCAGTAACTTTCCAGCAATGGCAGGTTTACCAGCTACCTCATGAGTACTGCACAGCTAGACTTTCCTTTATCCTTTGGATAAAAGCCACAAGCTGATGAGCTTTTTAAATACTGCTGTCTAGACAAAGTTTCATTGCTCACTCTTAATTATCATTACCTCAAAAACATTTCAGACTAGATGTACAGCAGTTAGGTTAACCACTGCAAATCTGCACCGAATCTGCAAAGTATATTGCAAAATTTTATTTTAAATCTACTTGAAAAAACGTACAAAAAACCCATTTGATCTGAAATGCATTTTGATATCATTTGATTGTTCCAGAAAAAAGTCTAACTTCACCGATCAAATGACATTACAGTAAAGTAGACAGGAAAAATACTTGAAATACTACCAGAAAAGCTGGCTGCATACCAGCGACACCTTACACTTTTTGGGTTTGCTCTTCCTCACAAACATCTAAAAACAATACAGCTGCAACTTTATAAGACTCTATCAATATTCCTAATAAATAAATAAAATTTCAAACAGACTTATTGGATTTGCAGATTTCAAAGCAGCTTCTCATACCTCTGTGTTTGAGTAATAGGTATTCCACGATGACCGTAATGATTCCTGTCCTCCAATATCCCACATTAAGAAATGAGTGTTTTTCACCACTATTTCTTCTACATTGCTTCCTATGGTTGGAGATGTATGAACCACTTCATTCATTAAGCTGAAAGAAACAATATCACACCATAAAGACCAGCCAGTAAAATCCACAAGGCTTGTCACAGCTCAATTACAACAAATTTGTTGTAAAAAAAAGTAAATACGTGTAATTGATAAAAGAAGATATAAAAAACTAGACATATTTCCTACACATTCAAATTTTTGTAATAATAAAGCAAATACTTAAGAGCAGCTCTTTACTAAAAATATGAGTTCAATCTGAATTTGGACTAAAAACTGTAGTTGACAGTTGTAATGTGCTTTTGTAGTAGAGACTGTAGACATTCTTAAAGACATCAGCAAGGAAAAATAAGCACATAAAAGGCTTATAGCAAATGGATAAGTATCTGCATTTTAAGAAGCTTCTCTTTTTAAAGGACACTCTTTAACAGACACTTAAAATGCACTTGTTTCAAATTAGAAGCTGCTATTCTCAATAGTCCAAATAAGGAGAATGCTAAACTGTGCAAAGTAAATCAGAATATAATTTTATCAGACCACTCAACTTAGTAACTCAATATTAAAACAAATTCCTAAGGACTGTTTATTTAAGTAACTGAAAATTTCTCAGTTCTACCTTTAAGCTTTGACAAAAAGGCTTAGGAAAAAGGTTTTTTGGAAAAGATCCTCTGCTGCCTTCTTATCCAAATATATGCATAGTAATTTGGCTACACCCTCCTCCTTTTCCACAACTACAATAGTAATTATGTTCCTGCCAATATTCTTGAATTTATCATAGATACTCTTGTAATGCTGGCAAGATTTGGGTGCAATGATGCTATTGAAAAATGCTTCAGGTAGGACCTAGGCAAGATGAAATACCATTTAGAGGAATCCTTCATCACAAATTTTAGACACTGGAATCAGGAAACATTTGGAAACATTTATGGATTTTTGCAGAGTGGCTAGAATATCCATTAATTTAGAAATCACTTTCTTCTCTGCACTTCTTGGTGACAGGATTATTTCTATGCTTACGAATAAAGACAGGCTCTGAAGGCAATAGAATTTGCAGTTCACTTTGTGCTCATATGTACAATTTTGTTATACAATTTACAGCTCAATTTTAAAACACTGCAGTTCCTTCACTTACCCTTTAAATATTTACTCTGTTTAAAGCCACAAACACCATTAACGTACAAACTGTGATCTAGAGATTTCTACAGGTTGCAAAGCTGAATTTTCAATGATTAAAAAGTGACAAATACTAAAAGGTAAACAGAAAAACAAAAGAGTTCATATACTTACAATTGGTAAAGAATAGTAGTCTTTCCAGCATTATCAAGACCCACTATGATTACTTTGTGCTCTGCATATACACAAAAAAGACAAGAATAAATTAGCAGAAACAGCAATAATCACTTTTCCTTTCTGAAGAAAGCAACTGCTTGTTTGTCTTATTTCAATAGCTTACACAGACTACTGGTAACTTCAGGACAAAAAAAAAAAAAAAATCCACAAAGCCTCATCTTCTCTTGAGACTACAGTTTTAGCAACAGCCAGTACTGGAAGTTGGATGGTTGGAAGTACTGGAAGGAATGGTTACTACTATGATTACTTCATTAAAAAAAAATAATCTAGTTTTACAAAGAAAAGTACAATGAAAAAGTACAACTCACAGCAATCCATCATCTTAAGAACATCACCAAAAATCCAAAGACTGCACAAAATACTAGCCTGACATTCAAGGTTCAATAATAACCACTTGTTAAGGGATCATCATCATTTGCACAGTAAAAACTAAGAAGAACCTGTATTTTGAAGAGATCACAAATTTTAACATCGCAATTTCTGAAACAAAAAGTCACAGAACGACAAAACAGTCAAGGCTGGAAGACACTTCTTTCTGGAGGACATCTGGTTAAATTCTCCTGCTCAACCAAGGGCACCTAGACCCAGTTGCCCGGGACCGTGTCCAGATGGCTTTTGAATATGTGCAAGGATGAAGATGTCACGACCTCCCTGGGCACCCTGTGCCAGTGCTAAGTCACCCTCACAGTGAAAAAGTGTTGCCTGATGTTTAGAAGGAACCTCCTGTGTTTCGGTTTGTGCTCACTGTCTCTGGTGCTGTCACTGGGCACCACTGAGAACAGCCTGGCTCTGTCCTCTTTGCACCTTCAGGTATTTATATACATTAAAAACATCCCCCCTGAGCCTTTTCTTCCTAAGGCTAAACAGTCCCAGCTCTCTCAACCTTTTCTCATACGTGAGATGCTCCAGTCCCTTCATCATCTTTGTGGCCTGTCGCTGGACCCTCTCCAGTATGTCCATGCCTCTCGTACTGAGGAGCCTGGAGCTGGACATGCTACTCCAGGTGAGGCCTCATCAGTGCTCAGTAGAAGAAAAAGATGACCTCCTTCAACCTGCTGTAAAGTCCAGCTTACAGAATAGAGATCTTCCAAATATTGCAGTCTTATTTTTCCAGCCATAGGGGAAACAAAACCAGAACAAAACAAAAAACACAAAACCCCTCAGAACCTTCTAAGTTTCTCTGTAGTTAAACCTTCTTAGAATTTCAAATATAGCAGCACAGCCAATTAGAATGGTGGTTCTTTTGATACATGTGTGAAGTTAGAAGATACTGATCCCTCTACTGACAAAAAAGCAAATCACTTGAGAGCAGAGGAGTTACAAATCCACACTAGATGTAAAACTTGCATAAAAAGTCCATGAACAGGCTCACTTTTGAAGGACTAATTTTTAAAATTCTAGGGCACTTATTCCAAAGCAAAACACAGTTCACAGCTTAAAGATTTCCTCTAAAATACCACATTGGATCTACAAAACATAAAAAATTGCTAAAAGGTCAGAATATCTATCATAAATACCAAATTGGTGTTTTTTGCCTGCAAGTGGGTGGTCTAAGGAAGAATTAAAGTGGTTTGAATTTTTTTAACCTATTTATATATAAAAACCTAGGTCTTTTCATAGTGAAAGTGATTTTAATAAAACCATCTCTTGCTTGGGTCTTTTAGAAGTTTTGCTACGCAATACAGCCCTATCATGTTGAAATGCATTTCCTTGTATTAGTTCTCCTACTACTGCATCCTGCCAACACAGTCTAAGGAAAGAATTTTTCCTGGCCTTAAATCCAGTAATACTTTTAGCCCCGTAAGAGGCAGCATCAGTAATTAATAACCGTTCCCAATACGTAAATGGTACAAAATCTTCTCTGCCTTCAACTCTAATAAACCATGCCACATAGCTAGACTGTCCATCTTTTCTTCAAATCCAGTCAAGTTTAAAGGCCTTTCAAAGTTCATACACAGAAATACCCTTCTGTTGTTTTCAATATAGCCATGCTGTCAACTATTGCCTGGAAGATGACTCTCCTTTTGCAACATTCTGTTTTGAGTTATTTTCAAGGAGGAAAAGAAAAGGAATTTCAGTCGGGCATTACATTGCTCTTTTACACCTTCACATCAGAATACAGAGTCTTAGGAATGAATGAGAAAAGTGTCGGATGAAACAATATCACGCTACTTAAAGTAATGAAAAAAAAAGCCCCCACTGAGATGACTGTTTTTGAAAGCCACTGAAGCATGAATAGTCCAACACTAATTGGGGAAAGAGGCACCGCTCATCTGTGTTACTCCGCAGTCAAATGGCATTTTGTACAGCACCCGAACAAGCACAAACAAGTAACAGCCACACAAGTGTTGATTTGGGGATGAAAATAACAACATGAAAGCACCAGTATCTCACACAAATACCAGTTTCCACCTTTTATTAATGGCAGTTGCTTTCAGAACTGTCACCTATGGTAATGGAAAACTCTTCACTTACAAACATATTCAAAAGCTGAATTTCTGTCTATATTGGTTAGATGACAGAATTTTTACTTATGTATGTTCACTAGAGGAAAAACGTGAACTTAAAAATGGCCAAATTAAGACAGAATAAAATTTTAGCAAGATGAATATTTGTTTACAAGAGCAACTAGCAGAAGACAGATGCTACATTTAAGAGAAAGGACAATTATGGAGTAAACCATAGGCAGCGATTTATGCTCATATTTGTGTTCTGTACTTACAGACTAACCCAAATTTCTGCCTTTCACTGGCTGGTGTTCAAACTCAGTTTGGGCTGTATTCATAAGTATCTTTCCAGTCCACCATGTTCTTGGCAAAGGAAGAAGAAAATCCATAACGAGAGTTGTCAGAGCAGAAGAGCAGAGTCTTTACAAACCAGGTAGCAAGAGGGGGGAGGGGAAATAAGTACAAAAAGTAGGCATACGCAGAGGGGGGAGAAAAAAAAAAGATAGTATTAGACTACTGTTCAAAAGAATTCAAAGGATTCTGTTATATCAACCATTCCTGGCAGATTATTAAAAAAAAAAAAAATCTCTGGCAGTCTAATATTACAAAATAATAGGACAGTGAAGATTATCTTCTTGCAGATGTTAGAAGGAAGACATAATATGCTCTTTTCTTCACTTCACTCAGTCTTTTATATTCCTCTGTGGTAAAAGGATCCTAAACTGAAGATTCAGTTCTCACAACCTTACCCTTTCTTCTTTCTAATTTGCAAAAATTAAAAATAAAAATATCTCTAAACACTTTAACGATAGGCAAGGCTCTTTGACCATATTTGAGAGAAGAAATGAATATTGGAAAGGGTACCAATACTTTTCAGGCTGTGAAACACAAAACCCACACCTAGTTCTGAAGAACAATCTTGGAGGCCTCAAGGCTGAAGATAGAATGCAGACAGAAGTTTGCTAAAGAGGAGGCAGAAGGAATAGCATTTTACCGAAGTTCAAAGACATTTCAATACAAGGATTCACTTTGCACTCTAAAAGCCACTTTAGAGTTTTCTTTTAAACACAGAACATCTGCTTAAATACATCCCAGACTCGATTACAAGAAAGTAGCCTTTGGTAGTCACTGGAAGCAAAATCCATGTGGTTTTCCAGACAATGGTCTCTGCTAACCTATCTGTACAGTCTGGGAACTGTCAGCAAGCCTAAGTGAAGAAAACCGTGGAGTTACAGAAGTTCAACCACCTTGACTTAGAGCTTACCATTATTCTTCTTGCAGCAGTTTTTTAACACCCATAGCATTTATTCCGAGCAACCTGGAAGACTCTGAACGACTATCATTCAAAAAAATTAAAATATAGATTTGTGAACTTCTTAAAAAACTCTACCAGCCACGCACACACAAGGGAATAAGGTATTGACAATTGTGAGTTGCCTTTATCAGGGTTGCTGACATTCACTTTCATTTTTTCCTTACAGGTTCATTAGGAGCAATCTTGATAGCATTGACAGAATGGTAAGTCAAGCAAGTTTTATTCAGCTTTGTGTTGACATAGGCAATAAGTTAGCTGCTCCACGATTTATTCATATTACTACATGTTGCTTAGAAGACTGTGCCATTTGAGTACTGAATCATGGCTTACACCAGCCATTTTTTAAGTTTGATTTTTTTTTAAACATACTTTTAAAAGTTACCTTCAAATAAGCGTAACTTCAATGTGAACTTAATGACACTTTATAACTAGACTTTAAATGGCTGAAGGGCACAATGTTTTAAATGAAAACAATACTCAGGCAATGTTTTTCGTCAGTTTCAGAAATAAGGAAAAAGAATCAGGAAGCCATGGGTAAGTCACCTAGAAAAAAGACAAAAGTTTATTTTTAAGCCAATTGTTTCTCACATAAGTAAAGTATCTCTATTTCAGTTGGCATCATTCAATTACTACTTGATTAAGAGACAATACATATTGAGAGCTGAAAGACATAGAAATGCATATTTTCCTCCTCCTTCAGGCTTTAACCTCTGCACTGAAAAGCCACAGAGAGCAGAAAACAAGGAGATTAAATAACTACTTGAACTACTGCCAAACTCAAACTGGAAGGGAAACCTTCCAAACATCGCCACAAAACCAAATAGCTATTCCCTGACGGACTCTGCTCAGGGCAGAGACTGTTAGCCTTCCTCACTCCCATTAGTCATTGACTCACAGATCAGCACAGGCATCACCCAGTTTCCTTAAACTGCTCTGCATTGCAGCTTTTCTTGTTCTGTAATCCCACACACCAAACTTGGAAGGTAGATAGTACACTGCAGTGGAAACACAAGTGCGTTCTGCCAGCAGAGCAGAAAAGAGAGTTAAAGGCTTCCCCCTTCTAAAAGATTCCATCACAGGTCCAAGTCACACAATACTACTTTAACCATTACATTTTCCTCCATGAACCATTCCGGGTTTGCCAAAATGGGCTAACCATAACCAAAATGGACTGAACCAAACGGAACAATTTCTGCTGCATGTACAGTGAATTGAAACAGAGCAACAGACAGATTCAACTCCCTGGCAGGAATACAAAGATGCTACCTAAGTCATA